AGTTTTTTAATTTCTGAATTCATACAGCTTTATTCTGTGACAATAACTTTTATATTAACTTTTATTTACTAATCAATAAATCACTCCCTGTTTAAGAGGCTGATTCCTGAGTTTTGCATAAGGTTTGAATGATTAAGATTACTGAAAATCTTACCTTTGTATAATTCCTCCATAAGTTTTACCCAGGAGAAAAAATTTTTTACCCATGTATCTCTAACTTGAATGTGAAGAAATAGTATGTTTTTTTTCCCCCAAATATTACAGTGACCAAATGAAGACTACTGCTTGAAGGCTAATGAAATTTTCTCAATTCCTTTTGTTTAAAAAAAGAAACCAGGTAACATTAATTAACAATTTTTTAAATTAACAATATTCCTTTGAGTGCCTACTATATGAGAGGAGAAGTGCTCGGTGCTGGGACATACAGTGAACAAAATAGAAATCCATACACATATAAAATGTAATTTCCCATGAATATGTGCCAGATCACTTCTGGAAAAGAAAGATACCTTTCTATTGTTGGGGCCATATACTTCATACCAACTAATGTTAGTATTTAGTAGTTTTGAACTAATTTATTTTCAAATTTGTGAATGCCAGCTTATATTATGATGGAGATTCTCAAGTGGAAATGATGCTTGTCCTCTAATCTTGCTAGTGCACATTGGAGTTACACCAGAAATTTTGATGTGACTCTTCTGCCCACCTGCTATCTAGCCATCTCCCTTCACCCCACACATTTGTCTGTGTGTGTGTTTGAGATAGGGCCTCACTCTGTCACCTAGGCTGGGGTGCAGTGGCATGATCACAGCTCACTGCAGCTTCAACTTCCCAGGCTCAAGTGATCATCCTGCCTCAGCCTCCTGAGTAGCTGGCACCATAGGTACATGCCACCACACCTGGCTAATTTTTGTATTTTTTGCAGAGACGGGGTTTTTCCATGTTGCCCAGGCTGGTATCAAACTCCTGGACAGACTCAAGTGATCCTCCAACCTGGGCCTCCCAAAGTACTGGGATTACAGGCATGAGCCTCTGTGCCTGGCCCACCCCACATGTTCTTTTTGATACTGCCTGCCCCCAAAATCTTACACTAGTGAGCTACTATTACTAATGGGAGTATATTAAGATTCTCAGATCTAATGGTACAGACAAAAGCATTAAGAATCTTGGGTCGGGCATGGTGGTTCACACCTGTAATCCCAGGATTTTGGGAGGCTGAGGCAGACTGATTACTTGAGCTCAGGAGTTCAAGACCAGCCTGTCCAACGTGGAGAAACACCATCTCGACCAAAAAAATACAAAAAAAATCAGCTAGTCATGGTGGCGTGTGCCTGTAGTCCCAGCTACTCAGGAGGCTGAGGCGGGAAGATGGCCTAAAACTTGGAGGCAGAGGTTGCAGTGAGCTGAGATTGTGCCAATGCACTCTAGCTTGGGTGACAGAGCAAGATTCTGTCTCAGGCCGGGCGCGGTGGCTTAAGCCTGTAATCCCAGCACTTTGGGAGGCCGAGACGGGCGGATCACGAGGTCAGGAGATCGAGACCATCCTGGCTAACACAGTGAAACCCCGT